TTAATTAGAGCACGGCGCTGTGGGACATACGGAGAACGGAGTTACAGTGAAAACGTACGAAGAGATAACTACGACAACGGCAAAAACTACGTTCGTTCAAATTCAAACTTTTTTTTTTTTTTTTTTTTGCTGTCAGTTTAGCCGGCTGACAAGTGAGACGACGATGACGATCAGACAACAACGTTAAAACGTGATCGTCGCGAAATTTCACTATATGCTTCGCATTCGACAACCCTTTTTCTGCCTACACACATCATTCTGTCTGCTGGATGGTTTGAATTTCCTTTCAAATCACGAGAGAAATTCACAGTCACTAATGGAGGATCCGCATCAGTAAACTTTATGTATACACACATCATATCTGTCTGATTTTAATTTTCTTTATGAGTAATTAGAGAAACTCATAGTCACTACTTAAATTTTATTTTTATATAATATATGTGCAAACCACACTATAAAGGTAAACCGTGAGGACAACCCCAAGCCAAGTTAGTTGAACAATTGATTTGGTAGTCACAGGGTTTCAAGTTTGTCGCTATGAGAGACTGTGCGTGGGAGCTGGCTATTAGCCTTATTGGTTTGAGACGATCAACTATGAGGAACCTATGCTGGTTTACCTTATTGTGCAGTGATCTTTTGTTGACTAGGGTTACAAGGAAGTCTAGATGTGTACTTTTAAGTAGATACTACGGGCTTTTCTATAAATTAAAAGAAAGGTACGTAAATTATACTAAAAGAATCATGTCCTGTAGATTTGACTGAAATAATATAATGTTAGTAAAAATCATAACCCTAATTTTTAAGTAGGGGAATTATGTTCTATCTACCCCAAGATTATATATATTGTTTTTATTGTGATTTGGTATGGAGATTATATTAGTTGGCGACATCAAATGCGTTCACACTTCAATTCGTGGGTTGTAGCTAGCTAACTACTACATAACAAAATGTCGTTTTTACATATGAAAACTCAACGCATGCTCCAAAGAAATTAAACAGTACGAGAAGAATTGTAAAGACCTTCTAGATAATAAACAAATCATTTTTGAACACCCCTTGACACTTCTTGTTGTGATTGAATTGGTATATATGATGGTCCATTTCAATCTTTGATATACTACAAGTTTGTATTTGTTACTCGAATGTGTACTATAAGTGAAGTTCGCTTTATGACTATGATCGGTAAAAGACCACAAAATCAGTTATTTGATAAACTTTAATCTAAAAGTGGATTGACGAAATTTTTTTCATTATTTCGTCTATTTTTTTGAATGTTACTGGCTCTATTACAATGTAGTATTGAACTCACAACCTTCCAAATGGAAATCCAACTCGGATACCATTATACCACATAGTCTTAGTAATTTAATTATACTTCTATTCACCAAATGTTTTGAATTTTTTATTTTTTGTGTGTGTATAAGTAGTGAGTAGCTTTACGAGCTACAAACCATCAGTATTTAATTAAGTTCGAGCGTAACTCAAATTTAAATTTGAGTGTGTCGAACTGGAATCAAGTTTTGATTGAACAACTCATCACAAACAACTCGACTCACTTTCACTCTTAGATGAAAGGTTGCCAAATTCAAAATTGGAAGGATTAAAACATTCAGTGCATGACGACGCCTACTAAAGTATTACCGTAGCCTAACACTGACATGATTTATTTCACTCTTCAGCAATCTTGAGGGCATCCGCCCCCATTAGAAGGGTCTTCACCAAGTTTTAGAACAACAAAATTCCATGGAGGAAATTTTCACAAATGAAAGATGAAGTCTTTGGCCAAACTTTTCTCCCGCAATATGAAAGTTTTTTGGGCCCAATAACAGAGAGAAAATGAAAGAGAAGGCTGGAAAGTCATGCGTGGAGCAATGGCGCCAAGGCATCAGATTTCCTGAATTTTTTCTGGAGGCGTCAATTTTTTGTTTTTTTGTTTTTTTTTTCTTTCTATTTTTTTCTCTTCTCTCTCCTCATCTCTTTCCTAGTTGCCACCTAAAAAAATCACACCAAAATTCTCACTATTGAGGATGCCCTGAGGATGATTGATACGACGTAGTACGTCACTACTTTGGACTATGCCACATATATATATATTGCCACATTTTGCCCAATGGAGTATAATAATTCAACCAGCTCGGGCTTAGCTCAATGGTTTAGTGTGCAGTATTTGGGACAAGATTATAATAATTCAATCCATACATTTGGTGCAATGGTCCGACCATAAAGTTCTCGTTTCACTAAATAAAACGAGTGTAATTATAACACTCGATTCAATAAATAATAATAACTTGGAAGGTGTGATTGAGTGGAAGTGACTCATCTATCTTTAACTAAAGGTCATGAATTCGAGGGGATTAATAACTGTGTCGGTGGAAACCCTGGTATACCTAAAAAAGAATTCAATAAATAATAATAAAATACACTACTTGGTGGGCAGAAGAATCAAAAATTAAGAGAGACTCTATTACAATGTAGTATCTGTTTATATACTTTCTCAACCTATACTGGCTCTATTACAAAGAACCAATAACGCTTCCACTGAGACTTGAACTCACAACCTTCCAAATGAAAGTCCAACTCGGGTACCATTAGACCACATAATCTTGGTAAAAGAAAAGATTATATCTTCCAAATTCCAAAATTTTTTGAAATTTTGAAACCTTCCAAATTTCTAATTTTCTATCATGTAAATTCAAAAGGAAGAAATTAGAACTGCCACTCCATTTTTTTGTGACAAGTGAAAGTTGTAGCATGTAATAGGTAAACTCTAGTCCTATCTAATGTCTTGAAAGACTCATTAAATTTGTGACCTTTTAGTACAAACAAATGTTCCATCCACCCGCCCAATCCTATACCATGGATTAGGGTTTCATATTGCACTATGAATCATATAAAGTCCAAAAATTTTGTGTCTACAATTAACTTATTTTGTACTTGAAGTTTACAATTTTTGTCTATAACATGGTAACATAAAATAATAACATGGTAATTTCGTACACATAAAATAATAACTATATAATATGTTAACTGACACATAAATGTTGGTTAATATGTTATGTGTCTACAATTAACATAGGAATAAGGGTCAAATAGGCCATCGAACTGCACACAATAAAACAATTAGGCCACTGAACTTAAAAAACCAACAATTGGGTCCCTAAACTAATCAATTTCAAACAATTCTTCCAATTTGAAGGTTTCCAACAGGTCAACAGGTCATCCTTCCAAATTAATTATTTTTTAAAATTTAAATTTTAAAAATTAATTATTTAAATTTAAAAAAAAAAAAAAAAAAAAAAAACTGGTTCCACCGTCTCCGGCTGGATTCCAGTTTTTTTTTTTTTTTTTAATTTATAAATAATTAATTTTTAAAATTTATTTTTTTAAAAAAAATTAATTTGGGAGATGACCTGTTGACCTGTTGGAAACCTTCAAATTGAAAGAATTGTTTGAAATTGATTAGTTTAGGGACCTAATTGTTGGTTTTTTAAGTTCAATGGCCTAATTGTTTTATCGTGTGCAGTTCGATGGCCTATTTGACCCTTATTCCATTAACATATTTTGTATCTGCAGTTAATAGTTTATGTGTTTGTAGTTATCATGTTAACTATAGGTATAGAATTTGAATGCTATTTTTTAACCAAAATCCACAATGCAAGGTAGACCCTAGTCCATGATATAATTTACTTTTGGACTACTCCAAAAAACTAAAGACAATCAAGTCATTCTTCTTCCACGGAGGAGGAAAATTCATTCGTTTGTTGTGGTTGATAGAAATTTTAGTTTACTTTTCAATAAACGAAAATCTTTGAATTTTCAGTAATAAATATTAGTCATTTCTGATTTTTTTTCTTCATCTTATTTATATATATATATATATATATATATATATATATATATATTTAGATTCTCGTGCAGGTGAGGGCTTCCGGTGCGGTTGTGCGGTTTAATCTGAGCAATCCATCTCGCTTTAATCAACGTCCAGGATTATCAAAGTTTTTAAAAAAACGCGGTAACAATTTTGTAATTTTTGCATCTATGTCAAAATTAAGGTGAGCGGATCTGTGATTAATGTGCGTGAGTTCTGTGCTTAATGTGCGTGTGTTTTGTGCTTAATGTGCGTGAGGTTTGTGCTTAATGTGCGTGGGATGTGCTTAACGTGAATAGTTGTTAAAAGTTAAAGTCTGTGAGTGAATACTTAAAGTGCGTGAGTTTTGTGCTTAATGTGCGTGGGTTTTGTACTTAATGTGCGTGAGTTTTGTACTTGGTTGCTGAAACTTAAAGTCTGTGAGTTAATATTTAAAGTGCGTGGGTTTTGTACTTAATGTGCGTGAGGTTGTGCTTAATGTGTGTGGGTTTTGTACTTAAAGTGCGTGAGTTTGTGATTAAGATCTAACACTTAAGGTGCACCAAGCCTCCGACTTGCCCTGGGCTTTGGCAAAACCCTCCAGCAAAGCTGCGCTACTCCTAAGCAAGATAAATGGAGAAATCCAAATTCAAAGTATAGAGTTGATGAGTTGAATGAGTCTCCTCCTCGCTTTCCTGGTATTTGCACACTGGGCTTTGGCAAGCGTTTTTTTTTTTTTTTTTAATTTTTATTGATTTGAGTGGTTGATCTAAATTTGATCAATTGCTCAGATTTAACCGCACAACCGCACGAGAAGCTATACCCGCACCTGAACCCTTCCCTATATATATATATATATATATATATATATATATATATATATATATATATATATAGACTATGAAAGGCCAAGTTGATCAGCAGGAGGTAGCTAGAGGATTGTTAGATAAAGGCTTGAAGGACGAGTCCACCATATATCTTGTCTCTATCTGGAAAATATAATGGTAAAAGTAAATAAAATTGTGCCTTCATTATTAACTATAGCTCAGCTTTGGCGTAATGATAAGCTGAGGTCACGGATTCGAATCCGAATAAGAGTGAAAACTGCCTAACACAAATCAATGTCAATTAAGTTGAGGAAAACATAAACTGATGAGCAGAAACATTTATTTTCATTGAAATTGAAGTCATCATAATACAGTAGTACGTAGTCAAAATACATTGAAACTAGTGTGTTTACAACTCTTCAAATTACCCAGTATTATTCAACAGCAATGATATGGTGATATATATATATATATATATATATATATATATATATATATATATATATATATCGATCTCCTCATGAATGGGGGAAAAAGGTGTCGAAATCTGCAACGCCACCCATATCAAGATCACTGAAGCTAGTTGAAGAGCATGCATAAAAACTGGTATCATAATTACTAGACTCCCCAATAATATCCCCCCATATAAAATTATCATCATCATCATAACACTTATCATTATTATCTGGTGATTTGCTTATAGAAATCTCGCTCTGTGCTGTTTCTTCCTCCTTCTTCACTGTATCAATGGCGCCACCATCTTCTTCTTCTTCTTGGAGACTCATCTGCTTATTAGCAGCTTCCACCATGGTTTGATGGTCGTTTGGAGCGTCGCCGGAGAAGGCTCCGGCGACATGATCGGTTTTCCGGCGTGGAAACCTCTGCGGATCCTTGCAGGTGTGGTAGCCGAAATATGTTGTCTGGTACAACCCCTCCGAGGTTCTTTGGACTTGTTTTGTCGCTCTGCAGCCTTGGTCCCTCTTGTGGGTGCACCTAAAGTAGCACCTTAATCCATCCAAAACATAAAAGTTAAAAAGTGGACCGAGATTTAGGACGTTTTTTAATTTTTCCCAACAAAATTGGTAGCAGTACAAAATTTTTTAAAGAGTCCAATTTGTAATCTCATCGTTAACTAGTCAAGTTAATCAAATTATTTATTTTTGTCAATTTTCCGTTAATAATCTGATTAACTTGACTGGAGTTTTGATTATAACTTTGATGGGTAATTAGAGAATTTGATGATTAATTAGGTTAGTGTGGAGAAATATGTATATATATACACACAGAAAAATATATGTCTATATATATATATATATATATATACCTGGGAGATTCTGAGTGGAGTATATTCTTCTGGCCATATTTCCTCCATGCACCACCATCTTCCTGGGTTTCAGATACCTTGTTCCATGTCTCCGAATTTTTACTGCAATAAATAAATAAAATTATCCATTATTATCCAGATCTGAATTTAAAAAACTGGAGAAAATAATTTTAAATAATTAATCCAGCTTGATGTTCATGCTGCTAATATATATAATATAGAGAAGTGGGGGGTGGGGGGTTCTTATAATTTGATTAATTATTGGTGAATATCTTATTATTTTCATTTAATTAATATTTCGTGAAGATTAATTAATGTATGTTTTATATATGTATGTCTCAATGTCTGTGTGACCATTAAGATTTCTGATTAATTTAAATTTCAAGAAAAAATAAAGTTTCAAAGGCCTCTGAGAATGTTGGAAGATAATAAAAATAATAATTATTATTATTTAAAAAATTATTATTATTGTTTTTTTTTTTTTTGTTCTGACCTTTTCTTGTATCGCCCTTTGCGGCCCTTCTTCTTGTTCGTGCCAGTAGTCTCGCCGGAGTCCTCAAACGTCAGGCCGCCGGAGCAGGCGGAGGCGGATGGGATCTGGCAAATCTGGGCCGCCGCATCGCCGGAAGTGAGCTCGAAGATGGCCTGAGTGAAAGATCTGCAGATTTCCTGCGCGAGCTCGGCGGAGAGTAAGGTGGAGGCGCCGTCGGGGGGCAGGTTTTGGAGTAGGGTTTGGAGCTGAACGACCGAGGCTTTGCCTTTTAAGAGCTCCGTGATCGCTCTTCTCCGCCGCAAGCGTAGATTCTCCGGCACGTCCATTTCGGACTGCAGACCGCCGTGATTGATGAAAGATCTAGAGAGAGAGAGAGAGAGAGAGAGAGAGAGAGATAGGGTTTGGATAGAGAGAAGGAAGATGAAGGCGAGTGATGATTGGAGGAGGAAATAGAGAAGCAACTGAGAGGAATATCTGAGGAAGAAATGCTATAGAAAAATCTATGAAAAAAGCTTTTTTTTCTTTTTTCTATTTCTTTTTTATTTTTGTCATAAAAAGTTAAAAATCTAATGAGTGATGACGTAAGCTGTATGACATCATCATTCGTAATTTTTATTTTCTAGAAACATTTTTTGTGGGGGGTTTATTTTATATTATTATTATTTTTTGGGAAAATTGCATCTTTGGTCCCTGAGTTATACCAAGTTCCGATTCAGTCCCTGAGTTATGACTGTATTCATATTTAGTCCCTCAGTTATGAACAAAGTGGCGTATTTGGTCCTCGGCCGTTAAAAGTGACGGAAAAATTTTAAAAATTTTAAAATTTGACGGGTAAAGTAGGAAATTCACATTTTATTCTCCTTCTTATATCAAAACCACTTTCACAACATTATTTTTCACTTCTTAGCCTCTTATTTCATGATTGTTCAATTTTAAAAGCATTTCAATAACTTTAGTATGACTTGTTAGGAACCTAGCTCTCGTATAACAAACTTAAGACTTAGCACAAATAAAGAAACACACTATACGAAAAAATGTTACATACTAAAAATCTCAAGTTATTCAGTTGGTGAATTTCTCATAAAAGCAACCTGAGAAATTTGACATCATTTTGTATCTCAAAAGTTCTGATTTGATTACATTTGTTTCTTAGTAAGGAAAATTGAAAATTGATAGGATAGTGTGTTTCACACGTCTGAAGACAATGATCAAATGTTTCTTTATTTTTGTGCTAAGGCTTAAGTTTGTTATACGAGAGCTAGGTTCCTAACAAGTCATACTAAAGTTATTGAAATGCTTTTAAAATTGAACAATCATGAAATAAGAGGCTAAGAAGTGAAAAATAATGTTGTGAAAGTGGTTTTGATATAAGAAGGAGAATAAAATGTGAATTTCCTACTTTACCCGTCAAATTTTAAATTTTTTAAAAATTTTCCGTCACTTTTAACGGCCGAGGACCAAATACGCCACTTTGTTCATAACTGAGGGACTAAATATGCATACAGTCATAACTCAGGGACTGAATCGGAACTTGGGTATAACTCAGGGACCAAAGATGCAATTACCCCTTATTTTTTAAAAAAAAACCTTCAGTTTTGGGTAGTAAATTTTGGCAAACTATATAGAAGGATGGTACTCGAATTTTCATAGAGTATATTTTAATCAGAAATGATATTTCGTGTTTATTTATTTATTTTAATTAATTCATCACCCATATTTATTTGAGTATTACTAATTTATTTACTATTAGTTATATTTGTAACAATTTATATATAAGTATTATACAAAGTCATTGTTAATATGTGTGTATATAAAACGTTATATATTTGTCATTTGGTAATAATTTATTATTTTAATCAACCAACAAGAAAGAGTCACATTATGTCGCTTGACCACAAAGTCATTGGCAGTGAACGGAATAATTAGTCACACTAACATTGAACGAGACATGACATTTGATTAATTAGGTCAAGTTGTCCAATTCAAACAGTCTATAACCCTACATGCTAGCATCTATAAATAATTAATTTACTTGCTCGGCTTTTAAGACGGTACAAATAATATATGTATTAAATTAGTTGTAGTAATATAATATTGAATATTCAAAATCAGCTTCAGATAGATAGGATGCATGCATCTATATATCTCCATCCCTAATTATTTTCAACTTGCTAGTTTGAACTATTTTAACTCAACTTTAAGAACACATAATATAATTAATGCATTATTATTGCACTGTTGCCAGGCACTGCCGCTTTTATCTAATCATGTCTACCATACCCAACCACCCAAGCTGCAGCTAATTATAATAGCTGTAAACTATATATTACATAATTATTATAAACTTTACATACATACATGCATGTATGTATTTTGCAGTGATGTTTGTATATATTAACACAAGTGTAATTAATTTCTGTGGATAACTCTCCACCAAGACATACCACGTTCATCACCACACTCATAATATACTTCAATTCCATCTCACCAACCCCATCCTTTCTTGGCATTTTGTGGCTTTTTGAGTTCCGCTTTTGTTTCTTCTCCGGACTATATATCCTGGATCTCATGAACTCATTCTAGACTCATGAGAAAATAAATCGATTCAATCTTTTAAATTCAACACTAAGTTGTACACTTTTACGTACTTACACAAACCCCAATGTTCGTGGATGGCAGAAATCGAACCTCCACTCTGTTGTTGAAAGCAAGTATTAAATGAAACTTATCATATATCCATTAGATCAATGGTCCAATGCCCTAGGGCTGCCAAACTATATTATGGACCCCATAAACCCGCTCATATGCCCACAAGGAGGTAAATCGATCTAATTTTGTTTTTAAGATTCAACACCAAACTGTACATCTCTGTGCATAAGAAACTCATCCCACACACAAAATTCGAAAGTTCATGTTAGGGAATAGAGATATGGAATTTCCGACCACCTGAAAGTAATATTAAATTAAGTTGAAAGCCTTGTTCCGGCCACTTTTGGTATGCAAAAAAATCTTTGTTGCTATTTTCGACCACTTTTTACTTTTGACTTGATTTAAAATCATTTTCAAGTGGTCGAAAATTTCATAACTTTCAGAGTAGTGATTCTGGATATTAGACAAAATTTACTACCCAAAAAGGATTTTTTTTAAAGATTGGAAATTGTAAGAGAACGTACGGATCTAAGTGAAGATTATATTATATATCTTGTCCTCAAGTGTTTGTGATTCTTTAATTAATTTGAAGATCCACAACTTTTAGATTTTAATTCTCAACAAATAAAATTTCAGATGCTTCGTATTATTTTATCAGTTTGACCAAACAGTTTAAGCTTGAAATAATAAAGAATTTTAAAAACAACTTTGCAACTTGCATTAGCAAACCCCTATGAACAATAAACAATTTAATGTTTCCATCAAGTGGTTACTTATCTAGTTGTGTCGGTGTTAAAAAGTACAAATTAAATTATGTCAAATGTCAATAATATATGTTATAGAGTATAAAAAATGTACAATAATGTATTGTTGCCCGAATGGGTGGTTGAGTGGTGGAGCACAATTTTAGATATATGTGTGCTCAATCATGACATGCATAAAGTTTTATATATATATATATATATATATATATATTTCTTAATGGCATAAAGTTTTAATTGATGTGGAACCGTTTTTTATCAATATATAAAATTAACAAACAACTTTGAATATATATTGCTAAAAATGTGCACTTCATAGTTCATAGTATTAAAAAGTGCACTTGGTTGCATTGCAATACAAAACGACAAACAAATATTCAGAGTATTCTCGAGATATCGATCCACAGGGAAGTGAGGTCTAATATATGCTTTAACTCTCATCAAGACACAATTATAGCAAAACATAAGTAATTTATATTAGGTATTTAATTACGAATATCAACAATATAAAACACAAGTTATAAAACTTAAATATATATATTTCATTAAGGAATTGAAGAATCAAGCACATAGGTTCATAACCTCTTTTTACCAAAAATCCCTAAGTAGCCTTAACCAATCATGGCTAACATTGTCTTTTTTACACAAGAGTTAATGGAAAATAACAAGAAACAAAGAAGGTAAAGAAAAAGGGAAGAAATTCTCCCGAATGATTATCATCCTAGCTTTTCCTCTGTCTTTCAATGTGACTCGACACTCCCAATCTTCATTTCTCAACCTTGATGTGATTGTCTTCTCTCAAAAGTGGGTGGATCCCTCCTTGCACCTTTAAAAAGTATAACAATCACTCTCTCACTCTTTTGTCTCCCAAAAATGAGTACTAGACCTAGCTAGGATTTTGGAAATTAAGATGAACCGTTTTATAGTGTGAGGACAAAATAGGGGTCAAAACATAAAATTCCCGAAGTTTGAAAGTTGCAGAGCAAGCACTTTTGACGCATCGAACTATTAGTGAAAAATCTCTAACTATGGCATAAGTTCGACGCGTCGAAAGTTCTGGAATGACCATTTTGCCTTCGACCCCAAACTTGCTCCATTCATCTCTTTGCTCCATTGCATGGTTGCCAAATGTCCCAATTAATACACAAGTAAACACAACAAAAGCATTCAAATCAAGCATTAATCCATACTTTGATAGGGGAGCAAAGGAATAAGCATTGCATGCAAATGGTGATTTAATGCAATTAAGCCCAGAAATTAATCAAAAATCAAGATGAAAAATATGCACAAATGGAAATGTATCAGCACTTTATAGTGTTAAAAAATGCACTGTACTTTAAAGTTGATGAAATTTATAAAAATATCACAACGCTTTTTTTCCATCAAAGGTTTGCAATTTTTATTTTTTTTATTTGTGAGATTGAGATTAATTTTTAATTTTCTCCTGAGAGCTTTTATAGACTCCAAACAAATAAATATTCCGTACCATCTAAAATGTTGCAAGTTGATTGAATATGGGATTAACGTAGTGATTCAACCAACTACCTATAAACAATTAAGTGATTAAGTTAGTTAATTAAGTGTTATTTTAAAAATTAAAATTAAGATTAGAGATTTTTAAAATATATAAGTGATGGTAAAATCAGCTGCACCCCCCCCCCCCCAGCCATGCAAGCAGAGGCTGAAAGCTACCCCCACCCCCACAAATGCTCTCCGGCCCAAATTGTCCCTTTGGAGCCCTTCTTCATACTATTTGCCAATTAACCCTAATATAAAGCATGTCTCATATATTTAGCCCACTACCTTTCAATCAATTGGTTGGATCCAAAAATCCCCTCTCTCAAATTGCATCATCTCCATTAATTAGACGTCATGGCATAACTCATCAGGCCCCATCAATATTTATTTATTTCAAAACTTGCTAGGGTGCAATGAGGTATTATTAATTGTCGCAATTTATTTCTCCATATTTCAACTTGGCAACTTGTATCTCCTCTACCTCTACCAACCTACCTCTACCAACTCCAAGGGAATTTAAATAACTCAAAATAATGTGGTCAGAATTACAAAAA